TTCGACAAACACTTCTTCATTTAGAAAACCATTTAAAAACGCACTTTTTACATCCATTTAAAAAAGTTTGAACTTTAAAACACATGCTACCGAAAGTAAAAGCCGTATTGACTCAAGGCGAGCTACATGAGCAAATGTTTCATCGAAGTCTACTCCCTCAATTTGGGTGTATCCTTGAGCAACTAAACGAGCTTTATTGCGCGTTATATTGCCAAGTTCATCCGTTTTGTTTTTGAATACCCACTTAGTACCTATAACATTTACATGGTCGTGTCGTGGAACTAGTTCCCACACATCATGTCGAGTGAACTGTTCAAGTTCCTCTTGCATATCTTGTACCCAAAATTCATCAAGTATTGCTTCTTTGATGTTTTTTGGTTCTATAGTAGAAGTGTAGCAAACATACCTGACCATTTCTTGATAATCGACTTTGGGCTTATTTCTAGTTTTCATACCTTCGTCGATATCTCCTATCACCTGTTCAGAAGGATGATTTTTTACAACTCGTTTTGATGGCCTTTTTTCTTCTTCTGCGTATTCCTTTACTGATGTCACGTCTCTTGTGGCAACCTCTGGAGTTTGAACTGGTACAATGGATTTAACAGGGCTAGAGTCGTCATCATCCATTCATGTAGATAAGATTTCATTAAAACTTACATTTATGGATTCCATGACAGTCATTGTTCGTTCATTATAAACGCGATAGGCCTTGCTGTTCAGAGAGTAACTAAGAAACGTACGTTTATCTCCTCTTGTAGAAAACTCACCGAGTTGTTCTCTATCATTCAAGATGTAACATTCACACCAAAAAATATGAAAGTAACTCAAGTTGGGTTTCTTACCTTTCCATACTTCATAGGGAGTTTTCTTAGTACCTGGTCTGAGATATACACGGTTTATAGTGTAGCAGGCAGTACTCATAGCTTCAGCCTAGAACTTTGTGGCCACTCGTGCTGAGATAAGCATTACTCGTGTCATCTCTTGGAGAGTTCTGTTCTTCCTTTCTACCACACCATTCTGTTGTGGTGTCTTTGGTGCTGAAAACTCATGTGAAATACCATGTTTATCACAGAACTTTGAGAATGTTTAGTTTTCAAATTCTCTTCCATGATCACTTCGAATTCTTCCAATATTGCTGAATTTTTCAATTCGCAATTTTTTGCATATAGTTTTGAATTCATAAAAAGTTTCTGACTTTTCCCTAATGAAGCGTACCCAAGTGAACCTTGAGAAATCATCAACACACACGAAAACATACATTTTTTCCGCCAATGCTCTCCGTCTGCATTGGGCCCATTAAATCCATATGAATGAGTTCCAAGGTTCTGCTAGTCCTTGCATGATATGTGCTCTTATGAGATGTCCGCACATGTTTCCCCAACGGACAGTCACCACATGACTCCGGTGTGTTAGAGCTTAGTTGTGGTACTCCTTTCACACAACCTGCATTAACAAGACGGATGAAATCATGAAAATTTAAATGACCTAGTTTGCGATGCCACAGATCAGTGAGATCAGAGGTGGTATGATGACTTTGGTCTGATTGATCTATCTGATCAATTTTGTAGCAATTGTCTGATGATCTGTAACCAGTTAGAACACACCTTTTGCTTTCATCAAACACTTCACACTTACGCTTTGTGACAATACTGAGTCGTATAGATCACAAAGCTGACTTACACTCAGAAGGTTTGACTTCAAACCTTCCACATACAGAACATTGTCTAGATTTGGTAATCCTCCAACGTTCAAGTTCCCTTTTCCTTTCACGTAAGCTTTATTTCCATCTCCAAAAGTGACATTTCCACTAGACATGTTATGCAAATTTTTCAAGTAGTTCTTTTCACCTGTTATGTGTTTGGAGCATCCACAGTCAAAATACCAAGAGTTAGTAGCACATGCATTTAAAGATAAGATAGTCGATCAACAGTTTGTACTATTTGTAGTCATCCATTTTGTATTAGAGTTTTTTCTTTGGGAATAGGTATCCCACGCACCGAAATTGGATGATTGGTATGCTAACTGTTTATTAATCAATTTCCATCTTCTAAAGCATTTAGGCTTGACATGCCCCAATTTGTGACAGAAGTGACAAGTTGGAACAAACTTAGATGCATGAGTTTGGGTGGTCACACGAGGTGAGGTGGGATTGACGAATCTAATTCTCTGGTTCAAACCAGTGTTACCATTAGACTGTCCTCCTGTATATCCGAGACCAACTTTCTTGGGATTAGAAGGATGAGCATTTATGATTTCATCTAATCTATTTGAGGGAAGAAATGCAGTACGATATAACTTACTAACTGGAGCTTCAGACATTGTTGCAACAAGTGGCAAAATGTGTTGTTGATCATGCTCGGACTGTATCTTTGAAAAAAGATTTTTCCTCATCTTCTTTGCTCTTTCACCATCATAATCCTACCAATACTTTAACAGGTCTTTCATATTGTCAATGTCTCTCTGAGCAAAGTCCTGTTCTAGTTCAAAGACTTCAATTTCCATCTCAAGTTCATCGATTTTGTCCTTCAGCTTCTTTTTAACAGCTTCATTTTCTTCCTCATGTTCCTTGATTCTTTCTTTCAAGGTTCTGTTTTCATCACCAACTTCATGACATTGTTTTAGAAAATCATTCAACTGGATACAGTGTTCACCATCATCCTTTGATTCATCGGTCCATGTGGACCGAAAAGATGTATTCAAATTTTTATGATCCTCATTATTATGC